GTGTGGAGATAGTGGATATTTTTATGTAGGAAAAGAGGAAGAAGGGTTTTGTAAGAAAAGGGGAAGCTAGTAGGTTCCGAGTAGTTGTGAAAGTTACACTTGCAGGAGTTCACAGTGCTTTAACACTTAAAAGTATGCGAAACTTTCACAGATAAGTGTAAACAGAGGTCATACAGATTTGCTTATAAATAAAATAAATGGTAGTTGTGAAAGTTACACTTGCAGGAGTTCACAGTGCTTTAACACTTAAAAGTATGCGAAATTTTCACAGATAAGTGTAAACAGAGGTCATACAGATTTGCTTATAAATAAAATAAATGAATTAAATCAAGTCCTTAATAGGTGGCCATCCCTACCATCAATCATCTGGGGAAGAAATGTGTGTTGATTAAAAATCAAAAGAAAGTAAAGACCTAGGGAGGCCAAAGAGTTTATTCTTTGGATCCTGTTGCAAAAGGTCAAATTGTGTGGAAGGTCATTCCTAATTTGTTTGATAACATTTTCTCCAGCTAAGATGTCACCGGAGATAAGCTAGTCCGTCTTTAAACTGTAGCTTGAGGAAGGCAGTATAGAATGATAAGCTACACGTCCAAAAGGACAAGCTATCTGAACCTCTACAATGTTAAGTTAGATAGTTTCTGCTGCATAAATTCTGAACTTGTATCCCTCTCTTGCACTTCCTTTCATACTTTTACATCTCAGTTCTTTTACGAAAATTAAAGCTTTTTGTTTATATTTGAGCCAATGTTAAGAGAATGTTAGTGCAGGGAGTATTTCTCTCCACCAAGTTCCTTCCAAAGTTCAGATAAGATCATTGGAAACTCTGGGATTCATTTTAGTAAACTAAGAGGCCACTAACCTTATCTGCCTTGCTCACTGCTATATCCCTAGAGCTTAGAAAAGCACGTGCTCAATAAATTTGTAGAAACAAATAGGAAGGTGGTAAGGACAAAGAATGTCATGAAACTTGTTTTGAAGGCACTGTAACAAAGCCTTCATCTTACTATGAACACTGGGTTTTACAGTTACATATATTACTTCACAGTGTATGTTCAAATTTCAGCTGCATGAGCAATTGCACATGTAGTACCTAATAGTTTTATTATACTTTACAGTAGCAGATTGCTAGTAACAAGCAGAATTTAAAATCGTTCAAATCTTTATAGAGGACTTTGATACTACCAATATGGTTTCTCAAAGATGAGCTAACTAGATGAACTCCAGAAGTTTGATCAAAGAAACAAACAAAACCCATATAATCAGATATCCTGTTAAGGCTACAGTCATTTAATGTGTGCTTTAATGTATACTACTTAACACCTAGGTTCAGGGTTCAATCCGTTGCCAGCCAGCCAGACACAAAGAAAAAAAAGGACAATTTATACTACTTAGATCCTTTATGAGTTCAGATGTCTTGAGTTTTTGAGGACAGTAAATAAAATAGAGTAAAACTGGGATGAAATTAAGCTATGTGGCAAATTAGCTTCAAGAAATCAGGAATATCTAATTCAAAGTTCACGAACTCCAAATATTCCGTTCAATATCTTCCTAAATGTTAGATTTAAGCTTCCATCACAAATTAGTACTTAAAAGGCCATAATTCAAGATTTACACTCTAGGCTGTAAAAGTAGCAACTGTTTCATATTAACTGTCTGCTCCTAACTATTCCTGGATCACATGTTGATTCTACATAAACACTTTTTACCTAAGAAATCAAGTGTTTAAATTTTGGAGTTGAAAAGGTAGAGAATCTGCCCCAGTCAGAACTGTTCTGACTTCACATTCTTCAATGTTCTACCAAGTTAACTGCACCCACATTAAAAAATCTGAATAAAGCCATTTTTCCCATACGGCTGTTACTTGACTGTATCATAAACTAGGACTAAGTTCCTGTGGTTCAGCCTTGGAAGGGAGGCCAAATTCTGGAGCCTATGCCATATGAAATACTTACTCCCTGAAAAATTTCCGTAGGATCACTGCCCCTACTTGCGTCTGCAGTAACCAACTCCCTAGAAATGTGCAAATCACTCAGTTAGAAAAGCATCAGAGACATAGATTAGTTTCCTGCCTTCCCCCTGAAAACCCAGCACAAAGGGCAGAACTTTTGGGCCCACTCCGTTTCTTTTACATTCTGAATACATGTAAAGTGCGGTGCTTTCAAGCCCTCATCTAGGAAACTAATCTCTAATAAAACATAAACTTACCAACTACCCTGCCTTGTTGGTCAACAAATCCCAACATTTTCTTCTAGCAGTGTGACAGCCAGTCTCCTACAAAGCCCAGTGATCCTCACCTACCAATATTTATATCCTTGTGTGGTCCCCTCCCACACTTTACTAGCCTGGTACAATGGTTAGCCTGTGTGACCAATAGAATATGACAGGAGTAACGTCATCTGAGGCTACGTCATAAAGAGTACGGCTTCTGCTCACTCTCTTGGATTACTTGCTCTGGGGAAGCCAGATGCTAGTTGTCAGGCAGCCCTATGAAGACACCCACATGGTTAGGAACTGAGGCACAACAGCAATGTGAGTGAGCCATCTTGGATGTGGCTCCTCAAGCCATTGTCAATCCTCCAGATAATGCAGTGCAGCCCTACAACCTTATGAGATGGTAAGCCAGAACCACCCAGCTAAGCTGCTCTTAGATTCCTGACTCAAAAGCTGTGGGAGATAATGTACGCTTGCTCTTTTAAGCTGATAAATTTTAGACTTAAGACACACTGGACATAAATCAGCCATTATTTCTTGAATGGAGTAAGCAGAATTCTAATCAACAGTTTTGACTAGAGATACGAAGTACTGAGTTAATTTGATTAAAGACAAAATTTTAAATACGTTTGTTTGATATTCAGAAAAAAACTTAAACCAAATCCCAACTCACTTTAGTAAACTCCTTCCTCACTTCTAAAAAAAAACTTTTGAATATATGTTATCTATAGTCAATACAAATTATTAACACGATTGCAGCCTAAAGTGTCATGGCGGCATTTTTAACAATTGCATTCAAAATATAGCAGCAGGACAGCTTTAAATTAGATCTTAAAGAAATGTGGAAGCAAATAAAACAGTACAGGCAACTATATGACTACATAATATAGTTGCTGACTACTGAATTCAACACAATGTAGGGTTTTCTTTGATATTTATAGACATCACAGATCACTACCAGAACATAAGTTTATTTCAGATGTAACAGCAATGTTAAAATTGACAAGTTTAATTCTTAACTGCACCAAGTAAACTTAGCCATTTAAGTATTTTTAAAGTTATTCCCTCCAAAAAACCGAGGGAGCTTTTCTTTTCCACCACCACACCATGGTTTCCCAATAGTTCTCTTTTTGGAGGACTTTCAATTGAAGTAAAATGTTTTGGAGCTATTTCAGAACTTCTTTCCCCAAAGGAAAACTAATCCGGACAAATTATATATTGCATAGATTTCTCTACAGATTCCTTTCTTTAGAACCTCAATGCAATTACCATACAGTATAATTTTAACCTATTTGCCCCACAGTAAAAACTACCTGTCCTGAAAAATATGATGGATATATCCTGTGATCTTCCAGTTAACAGTAATTGTTTTACTTCAAACATAATTTTTATCATATATCAAAATAACCAACTCAACATGGGACATTACTTCAGTCTTTACTGACTCATAGGCATATGAACTAGTGCCCAGCTTACAATTCTTCCATATCCTTCTCCTCCAAAGTGGATGGAATTATTTAATATGAATTTGATGTAGGACAATTAACCCTTTCCAAACATTTACAATTTAGATTAAGTCACTGACTAGTGTGGAAAAAGAAACTCTATAATGATAGGGAGACTACACACTCAATTCAAAATTTAATATTTTTTTCCTCCTTAAATAACATGTACTTAATTGTCATGAGGCAGATATTCGGTTTTCAATAACCACATAAAGGGATACATTCAAAGGACTGATTAGACAGTCCAGGTGAAATGGTTATAGAAATAGAGGCAGTGTCATCTCAGAAAATTCATTTATATATCAAAATCTATTTTGATATTTGGAAGTTTACAAAAAGGCTGAATTCTTCAAACTAATTATGCCTTCTGTAACTTAAGCACTCTTCTCTTGGCAAGAGCAAGCTGAAGCTTATCCATGAAGGAAAAGGTGCTTAATGCTTAAACCTTTCTTCTAAGCTTAGACCTGGACTGTTTAAGAAACTGATATCCAAGAAACAAGCATTGTCTTTCTACATTTTTACTGTCTTAAGATTACAACCTTATAAACTCATTCATCGACTATCTTCCTTTTCTGTATTATTCTTGGCACTCAAGACTGTTGAAGTCTATTGTACTTTGTACTTTCACATTCTCAAATAAAAACTTAACGTGTATAAACATTTCATAAAGTAATTGTCATTTAACATATTTGGAAGTGAGACTTTTATACTAGAATTTTACATAAGAGGATAAATATTATGAATCAACCTTCCTTTTAAAGTCAAATGACAAAAACTCAAGCCCTGTACACTGTTTTAAAGTCTAATGAGAACATTTCTTGGGCCATCAGTACTGGCAATATAAAATTCTAAATATCAGAGATGGGAATATGAAAGGAAAACATGAATATTTCAGATGTCTCCCATCTTACAAAAAGTTATCAACCTGTCAAAGCCACTCCCTATGTGCCAGAAAATGATCTAGCATAAACCAGTTCTGTCAGTTGAGGAGGTCACAGTGACATTTGCATTATTAACACTTAATACTTCTACTTTTCCAAGAATAGAAGCAAGTATGTTTAACAATTCCCCTTACCCCAGATCCTTAAACTCAATATTATAGGCACAGAGTGTAAGAAAATCTGGGATGTTCTCCAACAGATAAGCAATAGTACAGCTATGTTATTCTCAAAAATACTGTCTAGATATTCTTTCCTACATAACCAAATGCTCAGTGGCCACACTTTTAACAGTCTGCATTAGTTGACATTAAACACATTCATCGTGGCACAAGTCCATCTAATCTTCCTTTTAGGTATTTTTTAATATGTCCAAGAGAAAATACCTGTTTCAGGTTTATTTAGGGGTATTGACCTATACGGACATGAACTCCATTTTTAAGGTTAGACTAACTATTGTTGGGTTTATTGAAGAAAATGAACAGGAGAAAAAATTAAATCACAACAAACCTCTTTAGGTCAGTTAAAGGCCATATCTCTAGCTGGGATATTAAAAAAAATTAATCTCACCAGCCCACACTCTAAAAGTTAATGCCACTAGTAACAATCAACAGCAGGAAAAATAAACCTGCTAACAACCAGCCCACTCATTAGCAAAGAAGCAATTTAACTCAAATGCTTAGACCAAAGTATAATACTATCTACCCCAATTGCCCCACCCACCAGCAAGAAGAGAAGAAATAATTGCTTAAAAACCCAAAATAAGCTTAGAATTTCTTACAAGGATAACAATGGTCCAGCTCCTGAGAGAGTGCTCAGAAGGTCTAGAGGTGGAGTGAAGGCAATAAGTAGGGATTACAATCCCACAATAATCTTTAAAAACCCAAAGTACCACAAACACACTAAACTTGTCTATGAGTAAGAGAACAAGATATTGCTGCTGCTTTTTTTTCTTTTGAAATATACAATATTTTGTAGGCTCTGCCCTTCAATGTGAAAGCAGGACATTAAAAAAAAAAAAATCAGCTAAAAAATTTGAAATTGACACCCAAATTTTTGGGACCATATATCTTAACTGTTAAACTACACAGATCTACCCTCTCCTTCCTTCAGTCAAACCACCTCACAAAAATAAGAGAACTAAAACAATCCAAACATGATTATTCTTAAAAGTCCTTGAAAGTATTAAAACTCTTGGAAGAAAGGAAGAAAAACAAGAATAAGAAGGGAGGAAAAGTTTTAAAAGAAAGGGGGAGGGGGGTGGAATCAATGGGCCTTTCTTTTATTTGGCGACAAGCAAGTGCAAGAAAGTTCCTTTGTAATTTGTTCAGTTGTCTGTCTTTTGCACATCTGCATTCTGACCAGAAGGGACTTTGAGGTTTTTCTGCAGCACATGAGCATCTGCAGGCTCTATCCTCTTATAGTAGTTCTTCTTTGTCTCAATAATCTCAAAGCCAAACTTCCTGTAGAAGTCAATTGCCGACTCATTGCTGATCTGGACGTGCCTGAGATATAAGAGGGTATCAGAAAAAAAATTAAAATTAAGGTTTCATCAGCTTGAAGTGTTCTCCACAGAGAACTTCAAACTGATTGGAGCTGTAATACTGCAGATATTTACATTCCTTACAATTATCAGTAATTAACAAAGATAAGATATTCATTCCAGAAAATCTTTTGATGATAATTTCACACTTTTAATCTAATTCTTATATTTGCAAGATAGCTTGTTGAGATTAGGAAGCTCAGTAATAGTATTTATTCTTTCAGTCAGCAAAGGACAAAGTACCTTAGTTATCATAATATTTTTTTATTACAAGGGGAGAAAAGATTCCTGTTATTAAAATAGGTTAAATAACATTAGGGATGATACAAATGAGCATGTCACTAATTCCCTTGAACAAAACACAAAAAGTGCAAAGAGCATGGCACAAGAAAACCATTGTCTGGGTTTTCCTCCTCATTTCATCACTATGACTTTGGAGCTCCCATCCCAATATAATAAAGATGTGTTTTATTTCAGGTTCCTTATCTACTATTAAAACAAAACAAAACAAAACAAACAAAACTTCTTAACAACTACTTCCATGGTGTTTCCAAAGACACAGTGGAATAAGTGACCAGATTTTAAAGTTTCTAGTAAAAACTTCTATTGCCAATTTATTAAATTCTTCCATTAAGAACATTAAATATTATTTTACTTACAGATAGATGTTGTCAAAAGTGCCATCTTTTTCACAGATGTTTAAGACATGATTTAACATTTTAGTTCCTATTAATAAGATAAACAACCAATAAGTAACCTCATAAATCAAACTTTAAATTGCATATCTATCTGTCATTTTAACTATTTACTGAGACCTAACAGAATTTATTCTGAATTTTTTTTCCTGGCAGCTGGTTGGTACAGGGATCCTGAACCCTTGACATTACAAGGCAATGCTCTACCCAACTGAGCTAACCAGCCAGCCAAGACCTAACAGAATTTATGAGGTACAAATACTAGACATCTTTTTTTTCCTGAATTTTGTTCTCTCTACAATAGCTACATACGTTTACAACTGTTAGCAGAAGAGCAACCTTTTTATACGAGCACTTCCAGGTAGAAGAAAAACAGAAAAAGCAAAAGGGGAAATGAATAACAAATCCATGTAGGGCTTACAGCTGAATTACGTTAATAAATAAACACTAGTTATTTTTCACTTTATCTAATTCAGTAACTGTTTCCCAGTATTCCTAAAAGAAATAAATTGACTAACTAGTTCAGGTACATTAATAACATATTCATGCTTCTTTGAAGAAGTAACAAAAACCACAAATAATTTTACCTATTCCTAGCCTTCGGTAAGGTGCCAGACATCCTAGTGTCATGATGTAAAGTCTCTTCTGATTCTGTGAATGATCCACCCTACAGCATACTGCACCTACAGCAATATCATTGAAATAGGCTGCCACGGAAAACATAAAGATATAAAGTTCAACATACAGAATAACACATTTTATTTAATCTTCCCCCCGCCCTGCCAAAGAACTAAATTACTGCTATCAGCATTAAATTTATCAGCTACTCTATGAATAGCAGTGGCCTCAAAAACCTCTTACACTGTCATAGAAGTTTGGGTCTCCACTAGAGTAAGGCTAAATATGTGAAAGCACATAAGTACACACTAAATAATAAAGAACATTCATTCTTTTTAAAATTCAAGTATTTTATCTTGATTTCTCTGAGATTTTTCTCAGAACCTAGACCACTCTCACTTCCTCACTTGTAAAATAGACTAAATTAGTTAACTCTTTCTGCTCTAACATTAAAAACTAGAGTTAAAGAGCGCAAATAAAGGGAAGAAAAACCCATAGTATACCAAGTTTTGCTAGTTCGCCAACTTCCAGCACATCCTTGTAGAACTTGTCATTGTAGCTGACTGGAAAGATGACCTGGTTCAATCTCTTCAATTGTTTAATATTGTGTGGTGTCACATCTCCCAGCTCGATCCGGCTACTGGAACAAACCAAAATGAACTCAATAAAATATAATTAGCTTCATTTGTTAAAATGAACATATTAAGAGGGTATCAAGTCTTTTTTCACATTACTAAATTAAACCCTTTCATAGTGACTTTACATTCCTATGAAGATTACCATTTATAAACAAATTTTGCCAGCCATTTGATCCAAATTCTACTCATAGGTTTAATACAATTGTACACACTTAGGGGAAAAGTACAGTACATAACTACTATGACAGAATATTCTATAATAAATGCCAAAAAAAATTTTTTTAATTGTGGTAAATATATACAACATAAGGTTTGCCATTTTATCCATTTTTAAACATGCAATTCCATGGAATTAATTACATTCACAATGCTGTGTGATTATCACCTCTATCTATTTCCAAAACTTTTTCATCATCCTAAACATAAACTCTGTTCCCATTAAGCATTAACTTCCCATTATTTCTTCCCCCCAGTTTCTGGTAACCTCTAATACAGTTCTATCTCTGAGAATTTTTAAATTTATTTTTCTTAATTGACCCATGATAATTGTAGATATTTACAGAGTAGAATGTGATATTTGGGTACAGTGGGCAATGATCATCAGGGTAACTAGCGTATCTATCACCTCAAACATTTGTCATCTCTTTGTGTTGAGAACATTCAAAACCCTACTAGTTACTATCCATTGACCACCTTTTCTCTACTCCTCCTTCCCCTTACCAGTCTCTAGTAACTACTATTCTACTCTCTAGTTCTGAGATCAACTTTTTTAGCTTCCATATATAGGTGAGAATGGGTGGTATTTCTCCTTCTGTGCCTAAATAAATACCAAATTTTTCCTTGTAGTTCACAGTTCAGAAAAATTTAGATACATCTATCACCAATCAAAAAGACTGATGATATTTAATATTGGCAAGAGGGTACCAGATGGTATCCTTATATCCAGCAGATGGGAACGTAAATAGACAACAATATCTTTTAAGGACAATCTAGCACCATGTATCAAAAAACCTAAGAAAAGTACATCTTTGTCCACGTAATCCTACTTCTAGGAATTTATTCTAAGAAAATAATCCAAGTATGCAATAATTACGCACATTCTAATCACTGAGAACAGTGGTCCAGGAACCCCCTACATCAGAATCACAGAGGTGATATTTGAAATTCACATTCCTGAACCCCACACCCCCACTTTCAGAACCATAATCTCTAGAAATGGAACAAGAGAATCCACATTTTGAAAAACATCCCAGTTTTAAAACTACCTATCAAGAACACAACAGTAGCATTTCTAGGAAACCACAAGAAATCAATACAACTGGTTCCATGGAAAAAGGGATTAAAGCTAAAAGTTTCAAACTCACAGTAACATTTGTTTTGCCTATGGAGCTGTCAACAAAAGGAATTTTTAATAGCTCAAGTCATTTTCACTACTGTAAGCTAAAGGCTGATCAAATGTGATAAGGCAAACATGAATAGCAATGTAAACAACTTTTCTTCATATTACTACCCGCACTATCATTGAGTTGCCTAAATGTATGATTTGCCTCCTTAAACATCATAACAGTGGGTGGTTAAAAAAGAGACAGTGAGCACCATATCAAAATAAAATGAGTTCAAAAATAAAACAATATGATTCCAACCAAGCAGCCAGAAAATTATGTAGGTCCTACTCACTCGGTGCTACTTTTAGATCATAACAGCATTAAAGTCAACAGTAGTTAAAGCAAACAATAAAACCTAATTAGTCGTTTGCATCATATTCAAGTTGTGAAAACTCTCTGTAGGAGAAACAACTAAACAAGAACGTTAATCACCACATTTATAATAGCAAAAAGGAAAAAATCTAAGTGTCCACTGATAGGGGAGTGATTGAATAAAGCAAATAAAACCTAATTAGTCGTTTGCATCATATTCAAGTTGTGAAAACTCTCTGTAGGAGAAACTACTAAACAAGAACGTTAATCACCACATTTATAATAGCAAAAAGGAAAAAATCTAAGTGTCCACTGATAGGGGAGTGATTGAATAAAGCGTGCTACATCCATATTGTTAGCACAAAAAGATGCTGATACATCATTATGTGAGGGGGGAAAAGTGCATTCCAACTATATATATGAGGAGTCTTCAAAAAGTTTGTGGGAGGAAGAAAAAAAGCTCATGGAAGGATTCGTATTATCTTTTCATTCCACTCTTTCCATGAACTGTTTGAAGTACCCTCATATATAACCATTCAACTCTTGTTAACATATACAGAAAAATATTTGAAAGGATATTCAAAGAAATGTGTGGTAAAAATTGCTGGTAATTTTTGAAAAAATATTTTCTGAAATGTTAAAGCTTAGATTAAAAAAAAAAAACAGAACTGTTCTTAAAAACACCAACAATTACTGAACACTATAACAGGATGACCCAACAAAAAGAAAAAAAGAAAAAATTCCTAAAGTTGACATTTCTGGATAGAGATGAATATGATACAATATTTTATCTTACGTTACAATTCTCTAAGACATATTACTCTGTAATGTCCAGTCTGGAGAACATTCTGCTTACTAAGGAGTTAGAAGCAAAAATTGAGGAAACTTTATTTTCTATTTAAGTACTCTGTATCAAGAACCCAAAAGATAGTACACAGTCTCCCTCCTGTCGTACTTAATTGCTTTGAAAAGCTTGGCTCATTTGGAACTTTAGCCTTCCTTCCTCAATTATTTTATGCCACTCTTCTGTATTATTTATTGTAACCAATTATCCTTACACTCTTGTATGTTTTCTTAAAATCGGAGCAAATGGTTTCTTAGCAGCTGCACAGATTTTTCTAACATGCAAACATGTTAGTAAAAAATAGAGATTTTCTTGTATATTCCTTTCCATTTTTGAGCCACATGAGTAAATATGGCCTTCTCGCTAGTATTCGACAACTGTAACGAATTCCTTGTGAGATTCATGTCTTCTTTAAGCAGGTTATCTCTCATTCACAGAACTCCACCTATTCATTAAAGCACACCCTGTTTTTTTCTTCTTTAAGGCTAAAGTAAATAACATTTCATCCCAAACCTCTTTCTAACTAAAATCTACAGGGCTCACTTCCTCACTCACATTTTATATGCAGAGAGTGTTACACTATAAAATACAGGATCCCTTAAAATACAGGGATCGTGGGCCGGCCCGTGGCATACTCGGGAGGGTGCAGTGCTTGAGAGCGCAGTGGCGCTCCCGCTGCGGGTTCGGATCCTCTATAGGCATGGCCGGTGCGCTCACTGGCTGAGCACGGTGCGGGCGACACCAAGCCAGGGGTTGCGATTCCCCTTACCAGTCACAAGAAGGACAAAAAAAAAAAATACAGGGATCGTGTCTTACCTACACTGCCTGCTCTTTAACTTACTTAAGTACCACAAATGGGGTGTGGTAACTTATTTCACATTAATATTTATTATATTTAGAGCACATCATTTAAAAATTACTCCACTGCACTTAAGAAGAAAGTCTTAATCTCCATCTTTTTTTTTTTTTTTTTTTTTTAAGATGACCGGTAAGGGGATCTTAACCCTTGACTTGGTGTTGTCAGCACCACGCTCAGCCAGTGAGCGAACCGGCCATCCCTATATAGGATCCGAACCCGTGGCCTTGGTGTTATCAGCACCGCACTCTCCCGAGTGAGCCACGGGCCAGCCCTTAATCTCCATCTTTTAAGTGACTGAAATATTACATCCTCTCCACTCTCACTGCTTCACTTAACTCACCTTATAATTAAAAAAGAAAAAAACTACATATGAAGTTTAATGGTAAAATAGTAATAAAGAATAACTTAATAACCTACAAAGTCAAGTTTCTAAATTATAAGTAAAAGAATTTGGGCTTTTTTTTTTTTTTTTTTAAGAATGATTTCTAGGTAATTAACAGGCTTCAAGTGTATTTACAGTTTTTGAAAGGATAATTACCAGGTATTTTTTGACTTCATACTGGAAGAAAAGGCGGTTACACAGTGCAGTATGCTAGAATGAGTTGAATAAAAGTAAACTACTAAAAAGTTTTCATTAGTGTGGGCAAATCAAGCCTAAATAGAGGAAACAATATTGAATCACTACGAAATAGCTTAATCCTTCCATGCCTAATTTTAATAAATACATGCCTTAATTTTTTAAAAAATCATAGAAATGATTTAGGAAGTGAAGATGTCCTGTAAGAACATGTCCAGGAATGTTTGATATAGTTGTCCAATATTTTTCCACATACATATATACGTATATGTGCTTTAACAGAATAGAATATTACATACATTGTTTGGGAGCTGTTTGAGAAATTAATCATTTGATTCTTGCTAGACTGTCAGAATATGTTAGAAACAATTTCAAAGTGTCCAGTAAATGTTCAACTTTGTCAGCAAAATTCAGTTTCAAATATAGTTTAACTCTCATTAACATGATATGTGTGACTGAAATGGAATTACTTCTGTAATCCTGATCACTTAGTTCCAAATTATTTTAAGATGTGGATATTCTAAATATATCAGAGTAATATCATCAACTTGTAAATATAATTTAGCAAAGAACGTGTAGTATGACAGGTAGGAATGTCAAGCAAATGAGACCACTGCCCCATAAACAACCACAAAACTTTCAGAAGTTAAAAGAACTTCTAAATGAAGTTTAAGAAGTCCAAAATCTCTATTAGAAAATTAATAAGAACAGAGCTTTTAAGAATTCTGTGAATATAAATTTTTCTAGAGTTCTGAACATAATCCAGTTGCTTATTCAAAGCATAAATCAATTCTATCTCAATAAATACTTGAACACCTACTCTTATGTGCTAAGCACCTGGGATGCAAACGAATTTACATCAAGTAGGAAAGACAGGTATACACAATATAGTAGTAACAGCTTATGTACACAAAGTACAAAACTAATACTAGAAGATAGGTGACCCTGGGAAATGTTTTGAGGATGGCTAGGAGTTTTTCATGAGGGAGGGCAAGAGATGCAGTCTAAGGGAGAGTAAAACACGA